TGTCCCCTGATGTCCCCCTGTCCCCCAGGCCCTGGGGGTGCTCTGAGTGTCCCCCTCATGTCCCCTGAGTGTCCCCCTGTCCCCCCCGTGTCCCCTGACTGTCCCCTGATGTCCCCCCGTCCCCAGGCCCTGGGGGTGCTCTGAGTGTCCCCTCATGTCCCCTGAGTGTCCCCATGTCCCCTGACTGTCCCACTCATGTCCCCCCATGTCCCCTGACTGTCCCCATGTCCCCCCCTGTCCCCTCATGTCCCCTCATGTCCCCTGATGTCCCCCCGTCCCCAGGCCCTGGGGGTGCTCTGAGTGTCCCCATGTCCCCTGAGTGTCCCCATGTCCCCTGACTGTCCCCCTCATGTCCCCTGACTGTCCCCATGTCCCCCCGTGTCCCCTGACTGTCCCCTGATGTCCCCCTGTCCCCCAGGCCCTGGGAGTGCTCTGAGTGTCCCCTCATGTCCCCCCCGTCCCCTCATGTTCCCCCCTGTCCCCTCATGTCCCCTGATGTCCCCCGGTCCCCAGGCCCTGGGGGTGCCGCCCGCGCTGGCCGCCCACGTCTCGCAGGACCTGGCGAAGGGCCTCATCCTCATCCTCAACAAGGTGGACCTGGTGCCACCCGCGGTGGCCACGGCCTGGAGCCACCTCCTGCGGGCCCGGCACGGCGCGGCCCGGGTGGTCCCGTTCTGCACCGCCCCCGGCCCGGCCCCCAGCCCTGGTATGGGGTTTGGGGTGAAAATCGGGGATTTGGGGTTTTTGGGTCCCACCTCCTGCGGGCCCGGCACGGCACGGCCCGGGTGGTCCCGTTCTGCACCGCCCCCGGCCCGGCCCCCGGCCCTGGTATGGGATTTGGGGTGAAAATGGGGGGATTTGGGTTTTTGGGAGCCACCTCCTGCGGGCCCGGCACGGCACGGCCCGGGTGGTCCCGTTCTGCACCGCCCCCGGCCCGGCCCCTGGCCCCGGTACATGATTTGGGGTGAAAATCGGGGATTTTGGGGTTTTGGGAGCCACCTCCTGCGGGCCCGGCACAGCACGGCCCGGCCCCCGGCCCTGGTACGGGATTTGGGGTGAAAATCGGGGATTTTGGGGTTTTGGGTCCCACCTCCTGCGGGCCCGGCACGGCTCGGCCCGGGTGGTCCCGTTCTGCACCGCCCCCGGCCCGGCCCCCGGCCCCGGTACAGGATTTGGGGTGAAAATCGGGGATTTGGGGTTTTTGGGAGCCACCTCCTGCGGGCCCGGCACGGCTCGGCCCGGGTGGTCCCGTTCTGCACCGCCCCCGGCCCTGGTATGGGATTTGGGGTGAAAATCGGGGATTTTGGGGTTTTGGGTTTCACTTCCTGTGGGCCCGGCACGGCACGGCCCGGCCCCCGGCCCTGGTATGGGATTTGGGGTGAAAATCGGGGATTTTGGGTTTTGGGTCCCACCTCCTGCGGGCCCGGCACGGCACGGCCCGGGTGGTCCCGTTCTGCACCGCCCCCGGCCCGGCCCCCGGCCCCGGTACGGGATTTGGGGTGAAAATGGGGGATTTGGGGTGGAATTGGGGGATTTGGGGAGGAATTGAGGGGATTTGGGGAGGAATTGAGGGGATTTGGGGTGGAATTGGGGGATTTTGGGGTGACACTAAGGGGATTTGAGGTCACCCTGGCTATTTCTGGAAGCAGAGGGGTGACTCTGGCTGTTTTTGGGGTGA